CCGGCAGGGATCCGGATAGTCAGAGGGATCGGAATCACATGACCCGTAACTTTTTTTTCGCCATGGCTAGGGTATCCAATCACAGATGATTGATGTCATCATTTATGAGGAAATATCATACCGAATACTAATTAGTTGTTTGCTGGGGTTGTTCATCATCTGTACCTAACTAAACCAAACCCATTGTGTAGCCAACGCTTTTTTGCCTCCCCGTTTTTATCGTGTCACGCATCCAACCTAAATACCTGATAATACTAGCGTTTTTTTCTCACCTTAACAAGTGTTGTTTGACCTTTATTATTATTATTATTATTATCAGCAGAGAAGGTTAAACAAAAACTCGACTCTTTGAATTTCACATCTTCATACTTGACATATATAACCACCCTGTTTGCCAGACTACTAACCACGATTTCAATAAAGAGAAAGGGACAAATAATAATATTCTTCCAATAATATTACGCCCTCAATTGAATTCTGGGCCAAAAGTATTACACATAAAGGATAAAAGCCTCCCGAGAAAGGGGGATAAACAAATAAACATTTTAGACCACAGGAACAAAGGTTCATACATTTTTCCAATCGCGAGACAGGAATAACATCACCAAAAGTTTTATCAAATGATGCATACGTTGGATTTGGCAAATTTTCCCGTCACCGACACGCTCAAGATGCTGGCTTCGCTACTCGAGAAAATAACTCAGGCAAATGACCAACTAAAGTCACATAACATAAACAGCAGTAGTGGCAGCAACCATAGTAATAACAACGAGCAGGGTAGTAGTAGTTCCACGGCGGTTACACCGTCGACATCACCGTCTTTCACGCGTTTTCATGCGCGTTCGGTGCCTTCGATTGACATTTACTCGTACCTGGCTCGAATTTTGAAGTACTGCCCCACGACCAATGAATGTTTCCTGTCGTTGCTAGTGTATTTTGATCGAATGTCAAAGAATGCGTTAGCTACCACAGGCAAGCCTTTCTCAATAGATTCTTTTAATATTCACCGACTAATAATATCCGGTATCATGGTGTCTTCAAAGTTTTTCTCAGACGTATTTTTCACAAATTCAAGATATGCAAAGGTACAGTAGTAATCCATTCCCATTTAATAATCATAATATTTCTTAGAGATTGTGGACGGGAGAGAGATGAGATGATGCACACTACTGGAAAAATTCTATTAATGAACTGATTGTGGGGGTAATTGTGGATGATGATGATGACCTATTTTTTATCTATAATTGGTGGTGACGATCGGATATCCGGATCGAATTTATTTTGGTGCAAGACAGACAGAAAAAAAATGAAGAGTAAATATCCTTCAGCCATTAATTACCATGTCGCTACAATTGAAAATTGCATATTCAAAATTGGATAATGGATCTATGATAATTTATTGCTATCTTCCAATAATATTAATGGGAACAAAACTTCGCGCATACATTCTCCAAGCAAAAATTCAACAAAACTTATCGCTAACTGTTATTTCATCTCTTCACATGGTTTACTCTCATCATTTACAGAAAACGCTGCTATTAATCATAATAATCATACTGAGTAATAATATGCTTTAACCAAAAATAATACTAGGTGGGAGGATTACCGGTATCGGAACTGAATCAGCTCGAATTAGAGTTTCTGGTGTTGAACGAATTTCGCCTGGCAATAAACATAGAAGAGTTACAACGATATGGAAATCAACTGCTGAAGCATTGGGTGCAAGAGGAAGAGATGAAGCAAGGCGGGCCTTTGTATGAGAATAGTTTGCGATTTTCCACAGCAAATAGTATTGCTACCATTAATGGTGTTACCAGATGGGATTCGCAGCATGCTTTCGAAAAGAATACACTTAATAAACGTTCAAGGCGTATAACTTCAACAGATGACACGAATACAAGTAAAGGCGGAGGATCGAAAGCGATGAAAGAAGAAGACGAACAACAACATCAGCAACAACAAATACCAGAAAACCAATATTTTAGTCGTGGGCATCGTCGAGATGATAGCATATCATCGACAAAATCATTGAACATTAATAATAGTGCATCATATCCTGTGACATCATCTCCACAGCCATTTTCATCTAATCAGCAACAAGGATCTAATACTCCTCCAGTACGCATAAATTCATATTCTGGAACTTCACCTAATTCTTCATCTTCAATCATAACTAATAATTCACAACAGCAACAATCATCATCGTCGACGTCGTCGTCAGCATCGAATCCGATTATTAATGGGTCACCAATGCGTGGTCCATTCCCTCCAGGGGTGATAAATAATCATCATATACATAAACCATATCCACATCATCCGCATCATCAATCTCAACATCAAAGATCTTATAGTGTAGGCTCTTCAACGATCAAACGTGCAAGTAGCAGTAATTCCCTGTTGAATATTCATCGATCACGAAGTAGAGATTTCAGTGAAGATTTACAACAATTCCATCAACGACATTCTTCACCAAAGGTAATGGTGAATCCTGAGGATCACGCATATCGAACAGCAGCTGCTCCGTTTCCATCTGGACCTTCGCCAAATATTAATGGTTCGTCATCTTCGGCACCATCATCTTCATCTTTGGCGATACCTTCCTCCAAATATAATGGTAATGGTATGACTTCTAATGGAAATTCATTGTCAACGACATCTTCTACTCGTAATCTTAGTGTTCTCATGAGGCGAATGTCGCATGAATCTTCTCTTATTAATTCTTATAATAGTAATAATTTTAATAATGGTTACCAACAAAATCCAAATTCTTACACTTATAATAACATGTGCCAATCATCTTTAAATCAATCCCTTCCTAATATCCCTTCAACAAACATACTACCTCCAACACCAGGGGTCACATTTAATCCGGCTGCGACAATGGCTGCTGCCGCCCATGCTGCGTTGAGTTACGCTCGAAGGGCATCACTAGCATTACCACCTTTACCGCGACATCCACTAACCGGATTTCACAACAATTCAATGCCATCACCTATATCACCTGTGCCTCCACCATCCAATGAATCTATGGGTCCCGGAATAATGAGACGTGGCTCAGTACCAACGTGGAGTAGTAACAATATTTCAGGTGGTGGAGGTACCAGTCTACATTCTGATGTTAGAAATATTTCGCAGAATGGGATAGGAGTGACAAATGGCTCAACAACTATACCAATACCAATGAATTCTTCAACAATCAATGGTAATGGACGTGTTCATATGCACGGAGTTAACGGAATTTCTAATAGTAGTACTATGACTCCTGGAAGTGCTCCAGATCTAGTAAGACGAAGTAGTTGGGTAGTCCTTCCGACTACTCACACACATTCCGTGCCTTACCAGTCTCTGCATATGCAAACTAATGGACTAAATGGCCATTATCACCATCATCATCATCGGGAGCATAGCAGTCATCAGAATTATCAAATACCAACTCATGGTCAAATTGTGAGATCTGCCTCTTCGGAATCGTGTAATTCATCAGCGTCATCGGGCTCAGAATCGTCAGATTCGTTAACTGATCGTGCTTCTGGTATGAATTCTAATGGAATCAATGTTACCAGCACGAAGTCCAATAAAGACGCCACCGCCACCACCAACAACGGTAGTAATAATACAAAGTCTAATGAAACACACGATGACTAATTATTTTGACGAGGATTAATGGTAATTGATGGGTAGAAGATGAGAATGGTGGGTGCTAGGGAAACGGACTGCTAAATTAGGATGGGTGGGTTTCTGACTTCACGTCATTATTAGCTATCCGCCAGTTATAATAGGAAATTTGATCCGTTGATGATTATTATTAAGTTGACATTGTAGTTTTATTATCTCTGCATATTTTTAATTCTATTCTAGTTTATCAACACACGCCGCGAATCATTTTTATTATTATATTATAAATATTCCGTCACATATATATTTTTTACTTTTATATACCCTTTATAAATAGTATCCCCTTTTTCCATTCTTTGTATATCTTTTTAGTCACAAACTTCAAACATCTTTATTATTATATAGCATTTTTTATTTGGTGTTTATTTTATTTAGTATTTTTATTTATTTATTATTTTATTTTATTCTATTATTTTTAGTCTTTGATTAGTCATTTTTTCCAAAATGGCAAGTAGCTTTTCTTCGCAGTACACTATTTTACCTATCTTAACCCACTCTTATTACAATTATTATCATTCTTTTTCTATATGTAATTATTTTTACTTTAGCAAAAATGGGATTTTTTATTATATACATACATATATATACAGACATCAATCAGACAAAAAACATATTATACATACATACATTTTATATATATATACACACAAGAAAAATTACATCAACCATTTTTAATATATATAATTAGTGTTAGTAAAAAAATGCTTGCATTTTTTTCACTGTGTGAAAATAGTAATATTCAAAGGAGGAACGTGTGTATATATGATATATATTTTTATTGTGTGATTTGAACTCGAATATTGAAAGCTGTCCAATTTCAGATTCAAACGATTATACCGTCAAAAAAAACGCACCACTTGAATTGTTATTCATTAAGCACGTGATATACAATCCAACGAATGGGCAAACCTAGGTAATCATTATATCGAATCGTAACGTTAATACACGATGGTTGCGTTTTTTACAAGACTAAAGAAAATATAAAATTGCCATAATGAAAACAATTCCCCAACACTTATTTTAAAATCAGGTATTTTTTAAATTTTTAAAAATACAAAGGATCACTGAAAATAATAAATAGTATTTTTTAAATATAGTATTATGAAAAGTTAATTTTTTATTAATATGACGACCTTTTGTGTAATAATTAAACTTGTTGATTAATACGTAGGAGTATATAATATAATAAAATTTTATGCCGTTTTGAACAGAAATGATTATTTTACAAGCTTTAAAAACAAAATATTATATAGAACATAAAATTTTTTTGTATAATAATAAGTTTATTATAAAAATTCAAATTAACTAAATTAATGATAAATTACTATATATAAGAAATATTTATTTATGTTTGAATATTTTTAGTGAAAATAAATATGTATTTTTAAAGTAAATTTATTATTCAAATTTGTTTATATATATATATTCAAAAAAAAGTTTATATTTTGTATAATATTTTATGAATTAATATTTCAAACTTTATAAAAATATTTTTAATTATTAATACTTAGTATATTAAAACTTAGTATTATAAATCAAATTTTTATTTAAATTTCATAAAAAATATTTTAAAAAATTTATTTTTAAAGCTTATAAAATAATTTTTTTTGTTTAAATTATTATAAAATTTATTGAATTATATATTTCTATACAATAATTAATAAATTGTAAAATCACATATAGTAACAATCAAAAGAATGGAATGCTAAAACAAATTAATTAATAAAATATAGTAAAAATATGAAAAATATAAGTTTTTTCTTTATATAAAAGTTTTTAATTTTACTAATAAATATTTTTTATTTTTATATTAAAATGAAGATAATATTATATATTTTAATATATTTTTTTTCAGATTTTTCAAATTTAATCTGATAAAGCTATTCTAATTGCATATAAAATCAATTATTTTTTTATATATTTTAATTATAAAAATATATGATATTATTTTCATTTTAATATAAAAATAAAAAATATTTATTAGTAAAATTAAAAACTTTTATATAAAGTAAAAAATTCACATTTTACTATATTTAATTAATAAATTTTGATATTATTGTATTACTTTTAATTGCTACTATATAAGACAAAAATTTCAATTTTACTATATTTTATTAATAAAATTACATGTATAATTTTATAATTTTGTTAGATAGTATATATAATATTATTTTTATTTTAATATAAAAATAAAAAATATTTATTAGTAAAATTAAAATCTTTTATATAAAGAAAAAAATTTATATTTTTCATATTTTTACTATATTTTATTAACAAAAATTAAAAAAGATAAATAAATAAAATATTAAAAAAATATCTAAGTTCTATATTAATTTTCACTAAAATTATAATAATTCAATAAAAAATATTAAAGTTTTATGTTAATTTTTACTAAAATTTTAATAGTTCGATAAAAATTAATAATTAAAAAAATAAAAATTAAAAAAAATATAATAAAATAAAGAAAAAATAAATAATAAAAAATTTTAAGATATTAATTTTTTATACTAGTATTTTAAAGCTATAAGAATTAATAATAATAAAATATTTAAGTAATTAAAAGTTTTTTTATTTTTAAATAATTAAGTTTTAAGATATAATTAAATAATCAAAGTTTTGTTATCTTTAATAGTTGAGTTATTAAAATTACAAAATATTAAATAACTAATTAAATTAAAATATTTATTTAAAATTATTAGTAAAAATTTCAAAATTTTAATAATAGCTATTTGTATATAAATTTTGAAATATATAATTAAAATAAAAAAATAAAATATTATTTAATAAAAAATTTTTTGTTGTATTATAATTTCTTCAAATTATAATATATTGAATTAAAATTCAAATACTATCTTAATTTATATATTATTTATAAATACAAAATAAAATAATTTATTGTGAGGGACCAACATGAGATTGACCCAACATGAAGTTGATCATGTGTTTATACAAAAAATGTATCGATCAGGATTGAGCATAATATGAATCGGATTGATTTAAGTCAGATCGGATATAATACGATCCGATCTGAATTGAATTAACTATGCATAAACACGTGATCAACTTCATGAAAAATATGGAAAACAAATATCTAAATCTGGCTTGAAGCATTAATTGAAAATGTTGAAGAAACAATTTTACACATAATCTTTACTTCTTGAATTCTAATCCTTATCCTAACTCTAGCATGTTATTACAATAAATCTTGATGCAAGTAAAAAATGCGAAAAATACAGGGAGTACTAATTAAAAATATCAGGAAGGCAATTTTACATATAAATCTCATATATAAGTTTTTAAGATGACAACAATAACAGTATGAAAATCTGAGACCTGTGATCACATTCCAGATCTGACGATGTCTAACGTATTTGGAAGACAGGCATGCAAGATAAATACTAACGAACAGATTGAATGTTTCTTGGGGTTGTTCGTATAGATAGTATAATCGACACTGATGAAAGAAATATGTTTTTAGTATGTTGTTGATTCGTACTGACATTTGACAATATCGCCGAGCGCTATGACATGTGATACGTGTTTATCACAGTGTTAAAGATTGATTTATTAGGGTTAGGGTTAGGGTTAAGGTTAGAATGGAAGGCCAGAGTATATGTAAAATTGCCTCCCCGACATTTTTAATTAGTGCTCCAAGATAGATTAAAGCATAGCTCCAAGATAGATTAAAGCATATATTTTTCATATTTTTCATTTTTTATGTTCATGCTTCGGATTTGTTCCAAAACAATTTTATTTATCTATCATTTACATATAATGCGAAATTATAATTAAGAATCAACTTTTTTAAGATGATGAACCCTTTTTGAAGGACAATGTTTAGTATTTTCCTCAGATGTTTCAATAATAATGGTCTTATTATTGTTTGTCATACCAATAATCATTCCGGTATCCTTAAAAATAACTTCCAACTTGCGCTTTCTAGTCGATGGGTTCATATCAGTATCTGGAGCAATTGCAACTAATTGGCCTGGTTCAAGAACATTTGTACGATGGTGAACACTAGAATGTTTAATCATATATTTGCATGATTTCTCAAGCTGATTGTTTACATTATCTTGAATAACTGTAATCTTCTCCAGATGTTCTCGAACGACTTGCGGTAAAATGGTGGCATTAGCAACTTGAATTTCAGGTGAATTGTCTATTTCTTGAACAGCTTCTATATCTTTTAGATTAAATTTTTGATAAA